GACTGCAAAGTTGGGTGAACTGCAAGGTTGGTGGTTCAAGCTCACAAATCGCTCCTTGGAAACCCTCTACAGGGTCGCCATGGGTCAGAATCAACTCGATAGCATTTAACAACAATATATTTGTTGTTGCTGCTGCTGTTAAGTGCTGTTGAGTCGGTTCTGACCCATAGCAAACTTGTCGAGGGTTTCCAAGGCTGTAAATCTTTACGGGAGCAGAAAGCCTCATCTTTCTCCCTGGGAACAGCTGGCAATTTTGAACTGCCGATCTTGAGGTTAGCACCCCGATTCGTAACCACTACCCTATCAGAGCTCCATATATATAGCACTGTAGGATTGTAGGATAAGTACTGGACTGCTAACTAACTACATGATCAACTATTCAGTAGCCACTCTCCTTGGAAACACTATATAGGGTCACTATGAGTCAGAACAATTTATATACTGTTCTTGTTGTCAAGTGCCATAGTGTATATGCGTGCTAAATTATATAGAACATAAAATTGGTCTTTTTGGTCACTTTAAGTGTATTAATTATATTAATGGTGTTTGGACCATCACCATTATTTATTTCTAAAATCCCTTCATCACCCTAAACAGAAACGCTGTAACTCATTAATCCCCAAACTTCTTTTCTCTATGCACATGCTTATTCTCTACATTTCATATAAATGGGGTCATATTGTTTTCCTTTTTGTCTAGCATATTTGACTTTATATACTGTTTTCGGGATTCATCCGTGATGTAGCATATATCACAGAGATGGGTTATTTAAAGGAATTTTTATTTTAAACTAGCATATTTTGAAGGTGGCTTTTATTTCAGTCGTTTCCAGTCGAGTCCATGTCAGGACACAATCCATAAGATAAGGGTGATGTGGGGTTGTAAGGAACAGATTTTCTCCATTGTTACAGAGAAATATGAAAATGTTCAGTTTATGTAGTCCGAGTATAGTGAAATTCTATGAGCTCTCAAATCACATTTTGTTTGTCCTTTGACTCTGTGTTCATTTATGAATAGCACTCCATGTAATTTATCAGTCAAACCTGGGACACTTCTGAGAGTGAAAACAGATGCTATTCATTAATATGGCAGAATAACAGCCATCAACCAGACAAACAGGACTCAATGGCCCTTCTAGCTATGGGCTATGTCCTTTAAGGATTTTTCTCTATACATGCATTGGAAGCATATTCAGACGTTGAAATTATGTCAATGATTGCAAGAGAACCAAGCTTTCCAACAGAATGTGACTATATAGGTCCCTAAGCCTGTGGCTTTGCTTTCACTAGAGGGAAGCTGACATATTGGAGTAGATGTTCAGTAGTTCTGGGTTGCTGAATAGGAGCAATGATTTCAGTGACACTTGTATACCATCCTTAGTAATCAACCCAGATCATTCATTGGCCTGCCCCATCTGATATTTCCTCTGTGCCAGCCAGTCCTTTTCCTACCTTGCTGAGACAGGCTTCTTTACATTTGTCCAGTTGGTGGCAAAGCTGCAAAAAGCATCATGGACCATGGCAGAATTAGATCTTGTCCATTCTCTTCT